GTTTATGTGTTTGGAAGTTTGCGGGTTTAGAAATTATAAAGTTTATGGGTTCGAAAATACGCGATTTTTGCGGGAAAAAGTGAAGCATCACATTAGTTCCTTTAGATTGTGTCAATTTTAGAGACGTTCGGGAAGGGGTAGGGGAGGGGGAGGGGTGGGGGGAGGTGGGAGGGGGAGGGGTGAGGAGAGTTGCATAAAAATTATTTTCCTAAAAAAAAATATTTTCTACTCTCTAACCAAACAATAGAAAATATTTTCCGAAAAATGTTTTCCACTCACCAACCAAACAAGGGAAAATAAGTGATAAAACCACTCATTTTCCATGAAAATATTTTCTAGGAAAACATTTTTCGTGGAAAACATTTTCCTTTCGTACCAAACACACCCTAGATTTAAGAGTAAAAGATAGGAAATACAAAAGTAGTTGTTATCGAAAGTTTGATATTACCGCAATAAAGATGAAACGAATAAGGAGCTTATATCCAAGATATGGAACCAACTGGCAATTAACGATATATCAAACCCAAGATCTCAAGTTGCGTGCAAGCCAAGAGCACATACTATCAACTAAAAATAAAATTGATTACCTCAAGGGAAATTTACCTTTTAGCGGTCAAAAGTTGTTCATCAGAGAAAATACCAGGGGAGTACAAAGCAAACCGATATATCGCATCAAACCGATAATCGAATCAAACCGAGAGAAAAAATTCGATTATGGCTCGGTTTGATTTGGTTTGGTGTTGAAAAAAAAAATTCGATCAGAATCGGTTTGATTTGGTTTCAACTAAAAAAAGTCAAACCGAAATCAAACCAACACGACATTACATGTATACAAATTTAAATATATTTAATACATAAAAATACTTATTGCAATGTAATTTATAAATATTTCTTATCTTTTTCATAGTTTTATCTTTTAACCTATCATTTCAAGGTTTGAGTTAGAACTTTTGAATGCCAATAAATTTTATAGCCCATAAATGTTAGTAACTCAAATAATGCTAACAAAAGTTCTAACAAAAATCAAACCAATACTAATGCTAACAAAAGACGTTCAATTCAAGACCAGGAATGACAATGTATTATACATCTATTTTTTTTAGTTTTGCAATGATTTTGATAAAAATGCATAACCTATTTTTATTTTTTCTGTAGTGTTTAGTTGTGTAATTAATAGTAGTTGTTAGTCGTACTTCTTTTAGCATGACTTAGTACATTTATATGTTCATTTTTGTTATGGATTATTGATTAGCAATATTTATTTTGTACGATTTTATTATCTTTATTATCGAATATTTTAGGATAATGTCATGACACATCTCATATTTTGAATTATTTTCTCGAGAAATACCTTATTTAGTTGTATCTTACTAGGACTAAAAAAATATTTGGAGTACAAGTTGTATGTTTTGTGCTATGAAGACTTTACCGAAAAAAATCCAGATAACTAAAAACCCGAGAAAACTAGATATTGAAAAATCCGGATTTTATTGATTTGGTTTGGTCGTTAGATTTAATAACCTGACACAATTGATTTGATTTGGTAATTGAAAAATCCGAACCAACCGACTTATGTACACCCTTAAACATAGCAATTCGGTCAAACCTCTCTCTAGGAGTCTACAAGGAAAGTCATATGACTGAGGTTTACAATGACAAAATTCTTAAGAAACTAAGCTCAAAATAACAATATAAAACAAGAAAATAGACAAGAATTTAGGGAGCAAGAGATGAGAGTTTCTTATTTCTTTCAAGTGTCTACAATATCAATTCTTATCCTCTATTTATAGTAATACATAGAGGTATATTAAAGATTGCCATCAAACATGGCATTAAGCATTTGAGATCATGGGGGAAGATCATAGAAGAGATAAATGAGGTATGTGAGTTACAACAATATGTGTTGGAGTAGTGGGAGTTATGGAGATAATGTTGAAGAGTAGCGGGTATTACTCCCGTAGGAGTTATGGACATCCACCATAATCAAGTATTTCATAACACTCCCCCTTGAATATCCAAAGATAATGTGCTTCGTTAAAACCTTACTAGGAAAAAAAATCCTATGGGAAAAAATCCTAATGAAAGAAAGAGTACACATATCATGTTATATGCACTGCTTGCCGCCTCATTAAAAACCTAACAGGAAAGCCCAGTGGGATAAAACTGTAGCTAAGGAAAAAAGAGCACAACGCATATTTGCCTTCCCTTGAAGGAAACATCACTTTATTTCTCGAAGAGGATGCATTCCAATTTTGCATCCAACTTCTCATGCCGTGGGGCTAAGGATAATAGTGATTGCCTGGCATTAATTCTCGTAGCACACACTACTTTACTCTTGTTCTTGTGAGTGTTTTAGATTTCAGGTTCAACATGTCAAACTCGCAAGGAGTACCCACTCACGCCAGCAACGGCCTCGATTTTCATGGAGAAAACAAAAATGTAGCGCCCCAGGGATCGAAGTGCCTCAGGCTGGTCTCGAGAGAGTACCAATTGCAGATCCCGTCGATGTCAGTTCACATGTCGCCCTAAATGCCAATATGGGCGTTGATCCCGAAGGTAGCATACGCAGGGAAGTTCGATCAGGTGGTCGAGGTACGCAAGGCGGAGAAGACGGTGGAGTTAGGCTCCAGTGGATATTTGAAATGCTACATGCTCAACAAGCCGCTATACCGCAACTATAGAATCAGATCGAGCACCAAGTGGGATCGAACCAGAACTCGAACCAGAAGTTGTTCGTAGGGTCGAACGTATACCGGAGAGATCGAACGCCAATGACTCGGGGACTGACCCTGCCATTATGAAAATGCTCGAGGAGCTTACTAAACGGATTGAATCAGTAGAAAAGAAAATCGAGGCAAATAATAAAAAGGTAGAAACATACAGCTCCTAAGTCGACCAAATACCAGGGATCCCACCGATTCTAAAGGGTTTGGATTCAAAGAAGTTCGTACAGAAGCCTTTCCCCCCAAGTGCGGCTTCGAAGCCCATCCCGAAAAACTTCTGCATGCCAGAAATACCCAAATACAACGGGACCACCAACTCTAATGAGCAGTTACTTCTTATACATGCTCAATAAAGAGGAATGACTTAGAAGACGATGAGACTGAATCCGTTCTATTGAAAAAGTTTGGAGAAACTTTATCGAAAGGGGCGATGATATGGTACCACAATTTGCTGCCCAATTCCATCAATCGTCATGCTTGCAGATTCCTTCATAAAGGAACATACCGGAGCAATAAAGGTTGCGACTAGGAAGTCAGACCTCTTCAAAGTGAGATAAAAGGACAATGAAATGTTAAGGGAATTCGTAT